TCTCTATTGGATATTTTGGAATGTTGTGAGTTAATTAGTACTATCGTTACTTTTGGGGGTTTGTAATCACATAATCAATTTCTACAATTAAATTGAAATTTTGCGCAGTGATGGAGAATTGGAGTTAGTATCTTATGGTTTAAGTAAAACTGATTCATGAGCTTGACATCCTACAGCTGATATGTGTACTCTAAACAATTCTACTAAGGTTATCGCCCTCTCTATCTTCTCTGTTATGTTTTTTTTTTTAGCCTCTTCAATTTCCACTGACGATCTCTTCGAATTCTTTATTAGAGAAAACCAATTAGGTATGTGTCAAGGGACAAGATGAGATTAGCTTATCATTGTATGAGAGAGAAGATGATAGGTTTGGGACCTCGATATATGGATTGGTGGATGCGAAGATCTAGACGTTGTCCACCAAACACTAGAGCAAAGTTGAGTGATGAAGAGCTAACCTACCTGAGGAACATTGCTCAAGCTTTACCTTATCATGTCTTCCTCGGTAATTCGCCTTCACTACTTTTTATCCGCCTTTCCTCACTTTGTATGAGTGTAATATAGAGTTAAGGTTCAGGGAGACTTATTCATACGCTTCCTGAAGAATTCATGATAAAATGAGGGAGAGTTATTCATACGCTTCACAATAGTAGAACCAATCCTTGAGTAGGTAAAGAAGTTTGATAAGATATCATTATATCAGATCAAGACATGGTTCCCATGCTTTCCACAAGTTGCAATAGTCATGTTTAAACTCCCTGCATTTGTTACTCTTTCAAACCTCCAATCACATAGATTTTATTTTCATCCATTTCTCGCCTGATTCTGATTCCACCTTTTTTATCCTTTTTTTTTTTTCTCTCGTGTTTTCAGCCTCTCTTTGGAGCCTCCACTTCGTCATGGTGGGTGCGTCCTCCTCTTACACATCTCCTTTGTGCACATGGTTCGTTGTTGCTTCCATGTCAGTCTTTCATGGTGGCGGTGGATATACCTTACAAGTTGTCGCTCTTCAATCTGCAATCCGGAGTCGACGAGGAGACTTGTCAACAAATGCTCTGTCGTTTTGGAATTCGGGCCTTGCAATCACTACTACTACGACAACAATACCAATGGATTTTGTTCTCTCTTTCGATCGAATAGTGTTACTTGAATTAAAACAAGAGGAGATTGAATCGAGCTTCATCTACTTCCAGTATAATATATTTCTTCAATCTGGGGGGTTTCTCATTGTTTATAGTTTTTGGGGTTTTGTTTACAAGTTGACAAAGCTTTGTGTTTTGTTCATAGTTTGGAGCTTCTCGATTAATTTATGTTTAATATACAAGTCTTGGTTCGATGTTGATATGGACTTCTCGTTAGTAAATTTTTTAAATTGCATGTACCTCTTTTGCTACTATGCCATTAAGATGTATAGTAAGCTAATTCAGTTAATCTAGCGTTTGCTGTAATAATGTCTTTGTGTTTTTAGGTGGAGCCATGGCAGTTACGATGGTCGATGGACATAGGAAAGGAAGCCACGATTCCCAAGAAAACCCCTATGGAGGAGCGCCGAGTTATTATCATAGGCATGGGAGTTTAAACATCACTCGGTCGTGACTCATATATACCTCTTATGAGAATATGCTGCTAGGCAACGGTGGTATTTGCCAATTTGAGAATTTTGACTGCTCTGAATTTCCTACGGTAAGCATTATTCTTGGAAGATGTTTGGTGTGCGGATTTCTCGATTCGTCTGTTTTGTAGTGTACTTTAATGTCTTCTCTTGTTTTAACGTTGCCAAGAGATTTGCGGGATAGATTAAATCCTTATATATTTTATAGTGATTTTACGGTGGATTTTGTGGTTTATCTCATTTGACCATTGTTGTGTTCTTGGTTTCACCAGTTTTACAGTTTTTTATTTAAATTTTGGTTTTCAGATTTATATTAGATTTTCGAGTTTATTATACTTGACAGTCAAGAGCCTTTTCATATTCAAAATATGTTTTTTATTATTCACGTTTGTTCTTTCTTGGAATTTTCGAATCTGTTGGATTAGTTTCAATTTCCAGATTTGATAACCTAAGAAGGTTGAAAAAAGAGACTTATATTTATTTGTTTGATGTTACAAATTTACAGAGGAAATAGAAGGTGAAGGTCGATTTGGGAGTGTGTATTAGGGTCAACTATGGGATGGTTCTCAGGTAATTATCTTAATGATCTTTAAACCTGCTTGATATATAGATTCATGTTCATGGTGGGCATTGTACCGATTTAGTTCATATACCTAGATTTGGTTTCTTTGATCTTCATTTGTAATGAGTTTTTCTTGTTTTTGTCTGTAGATTGCAGTCAAGAGATTAAAGGCATGGAGTGGCAAAGAAAAGATAGATTTCGCTGTAGAAATGGAGATTCTTGCATGTCATTGACACAATAATCTATTGAATGTTCGCTTTTCTCCCGGAAAAAAAAAACCTGAGGTTACTGTGCCAAGAACGACTCGTTGTCAATGAGTACATGCCAAATTTGAGTTTCGCCTCTCATCATCATGGTCAGCATTCATCTAAGTCCCTTCTTGATTAGACCAGGCGGATGAATATCGCAGTGGCCTCTGCTAGGGAGAATATCAAGATATTTCATATAAATTGGAAATATCCACCAATCAACTGATTTTTGCTTTTTCATTTTGTACAACTACTTGCACCATCATGCAACACCTCAAATAATCCATGGAGATGTGAGAACGAGCAATGCGATTCAAGATTCTGAGTTTGAAGCTCGGGTTATGGATTTTGGATATGGTAAATTGATGCTAGATAATGCAGAAATGGAGCTAACAAAATCACCAAAGGTAATAATCTTGGATATCTCTCACTGGAATGTATTGAATCAGCCAATGAGGAAAAGAACCAGACATAGGAGATGTGTATAATTTCAGCGTTGTTTTATTGAGCTGGTTACTGGT